TCTCTCTCTCTCTCTCTCTCTCTCTCTCTCTCTCTCTCTCTCATTTTACACTTTGGTCCTCATTGGTTGTGTGTCATGCCACTGACTGTCAGTGGAGGTGCAGCTCATGTCCCCTCCAACACCATCGCCCACCTCCTTCCCCACCCTGACCTTGTTCCACCCCCAACTCCCCGCGATCCACTTCCGGACCCCTTCTTCTCCTTTTCACGGCTTTGCGCATTAACTTTCTTCGTCTCTCTCTCTGCCCGCACATTTGTCCACGGTGTGCGCAATGAACTCAAGTTCAAAATCATCATTTGTTGTAGTCATGTTATTGGCGTGTCCCCTCTGCACAGCAGGCAACCCAGCTCTGTACAATGCGACGGCCTTGTCTGCAACAGAAACAGCACGGTCGAGCTTGAAGATAGAAAAGCTTAAGACCGTGTCTCGGGAGCGGACCGATGCAGCGATCTCTTTCTTGATAGCTGCAAGTTTCTATATTTGGTCCGCTGCTTTACTGGTCTTTGGCRTCTGCTCGACTTCACTTTTCAGTACCAGCTCCGCAAATGCTAGTTGYTGCAACGTCACGCCAAGGTTGATGACATCTCTTCTCATTTGAAAAACTTTTGTCAGTRCTGTCTTGAAAGGAAGAGCGCTCCACGGATCATTGTCGCTCCTTCTCCATGTTGTATTCTCCTTCATCTCTGCCCGCATCCTGTTGCGAGTTGGAAGCAAATGATCCGTTTGAGATGACCGGACCAGCGGCAGACCTTTTTCGACCCAAAACCAATGCTTCAATTGCCATGATATCTCGCCTCGGACCGTTGTCATAATCCAATTGCATTCCCCGATCACAACTTGGATTTCGTTCGCTGCCACGTGCAACCGTAGTCCTTCCTCCGCATGTTCTCCTATCAATTTGACAGTTGTTTGTAGCACCGTGAAAAAAAATGTCCTCCGATGAGTACAGCGTCGCATCCTTTGCTGCAGAAAAAACAAAGACCTTCGCTACTGAACGAAACAGTCTGTCTTTTATTTTCTTTGTAAAACCCCCGGTTTGTTGCTCTGTTGGTTCGCCAGCATTACCTTTACCTGTGCTGCTTCGCCTTTACAAATTAGTGCAATCTGGGAAAAAAATAAAAGAAGACCAATAGATTAATGATTTAATAATAACAAGACCCTCTGCGATATGTGTTTTATATATTGCAATCAGAAACAAACATAAAACCACCACTCCCCCTCCCCGATCCACCCCCGAACACACTCCGTAACCCCCTCCCACCCCCCACCCCCTCCCCTTGGCCCCCTCCCCTTTCCCCCCCCTGCTCCCTCGCTCAGTGAACCTGGTCGTTTCTGTAGCACGGAAAACGACTGTGATGTGCACACATAGTGGTGTCTTTATAACGCGCCCTTCATCTTACCCTGTAGCGGTACATTCTCTCTCTGCACAATTTGTTTGTCATTCGATGAAGTCTCTAGTGGGCATGCCTTTTTTTCATCAGTTCCGCATTTTGCACTGTTTTTAGCAGATGTAATCTCTCTTTCTTCATCTTCACTGTTACCTTCCTCTTCCTCTTCGCCCTCCTTGGATCTGTCCGTGTTGTCGCCGGTTCTATCTCCCTCCGGATTGCTCTCCTCTGCATCGACATCATGGTCAGCGTCATTGTCGTCACCTTCTCCTCGTTCTTGCATTCTCTCATGTTCTACTTCTTCTGACATTTCTTCGTCGAAGTCTCCTTAGCGGTGGTTCGTAAATCGTATGACCCTCTGAGGTCGATTGCTTCAGAAGTCCTGTTTTTTCTGTATATTATTCTCTTCTTTGTCCTCTGTTGTTGCAGCTGTGCTTTTTCTTCTCGTCTTTTCTTCTCTGGCGCTCTTGGGGGCTGCCTCTCGCTGTCGTCGTGTCTAATTTCGTCGCAAGGGACTCGCGACGGGTGATTTGTTGTGTTCGACCAGTTTCCCCCTCTGCTTTTTCCGCGGCGGGACAGAGAGCACTGCTTCTGTTCTGCGGACTGTGTTCGTCTCTTGTCTCTTGAATTGGGGATATCCCTTATGCTATGTCTTTGCTTGACTGTCTTTTTGTCTTCCTTTGCTGTCCTCTCCCCCTTCTCTCTCCTCCCTGTGGACTTCAAAGACTTGCACAGATCCTCGTACCTTGGCTTCATAGTCATTCTCTTCAGCCTTATGAAAAGCTTCTGACATGCACGAATTCACAAACACACGTTAGACATGGAATGATTTTGGCACATGGAACGACCATGTGTCATCCGCCACCGTAGGCGAGATTTTCACATGCAGAGAGAGAGAGAGAGAGAGAGAGAGAGAGAGAGTCGAACGTTTTTTGCCGTTGTGACATGAAATACGACATTTTTTTTCTATGATATATCACGCATTCATCCATCAAGTAACATGCACAAGTTGGTTACTGCGTGCCGATTGGCTTCTCTACGACATGTGAGTTTTGTATAATTGCACGCGGTTGTCAACTTCGTGTTTTGATGCCGGATTTCTATCATGCCCTTGTAATTACGAACTTCCACTCCGTGTTCCGTCTGTGAGATATCTGAAGACATTTTCTATGTCACACGCTGCTGCGCTGTTATATCCTTTTGCCATTGCAGCACACTGCGCAAAGCGTTGTACCATTGACTGACGAAATCTCTCGACCGTTCGTTCGTTGACCTCCATCGCGCTAACAACTTCTGTTATATATTTTGCGGTAATGTTCGTTCCCTTAGTCACGTTTGCTAGCTTTCGTATCAATTCAGCTGCCACGCAACAAACGTAAATACCACAGTCCGACGTATTGGTCTGTTGCGAACATTCCGCATATACTATGTTAGATCCAAGTAGATCTTTGCAT